GCGGGCCCGGCCACCCGGGGGGCCCCCCGGACCCAGCCTGCGCGGGGCGGAGGGGTTTTCCCTTGGGGCACGCCTTGCCCTGGATCTCGCAAGCCGGCAGAGCAAAGGCCCTCTGACAAGGTCAGCGCCTTGATTTGAGCAACACCTTTGCTAGGAGGAGGGAGGAGATAGCACAGGGCGGCCGTGAGCTTGGAGCAAGCGCTGATCCCTGCAGCGTTCCCATCCCTGCCGTCCCACGGCCTGCAGCCTCTCGCTGCGGCACGTGAGCTTCCCAAATCAGCTGTGCTCCAAACAGGTGCCCGCTCTTGGCACGAGGCCCCCGGCTTTGGAAACGGCCCCCTGGCTCTGTCGAAATGCCAGCGTGGAGCATTGGGCAGATGCGGCGGCGGCGGCAGCAGCTGATTTCAGCCATCTGAGGGACAAGAAAAGGTTTTATCTACCAGGAGCCGAGTTCAGGATTGTTTCTGATTGCATCACTCAGCTAAAGCGCTGCGGAGAGCTGTATGCCTTATATTGCCTTAGTGATGTTATCGGCTGGCACCCGGCAAAGCAGGACTTGTGACTTGGAGATAAGTGGAGGATTGCTCAGTTAGTTTGCTTCCAAATTTGTTTATTTTCCCCTTTCTGAGTCTACCATCTCCCCTTCTTGATAAGTTCAGATTGCGAGCCAGCCTCTATTTATTCGTAAAGAAAAGCATTCCTTTTCACCTTTACAAGGGAGCGATGGTAATAATAATGACATCCCTGTCGGGGGATGAGCACTGGCTCCCCTCCGCCCTAACGAGGAGCTTCGTGCAGGGACCTGTCCATACCGGAGGGCTTCCCGAGCATCCCGCTCCAGCTGGCCTGCAGTTTGCTTTGGAAGGTGCTTCCCCTGCTCTCCTGCCAACCTAAAGGACTGCCTTTCCAAATAGGACAGGCACCGGCATACCGAGCTCCTCGCTAGTGGAAGCGAGCAAACGCACAGGGAAGTTTTATTGCGGAGAATGGCGGGTTGAGCTGCCTGGCCCGTGAGGCGTCCCCCTGCCTCCCTGCCCACGGGCACGCTCTTAGGCACGCCTTTCTCTACACGCAGGGTCACCAAAAGCTGGGAGAAAGGCTTTCCACAGGCAAACCCTGTCACGTCACCGCTGTGACCTCCGGAGAGTCTGAAGGCAATTGCAGGTGGCTTGGGACCACGCGTAGGCAAGTCAGAGGGGTTTGAAATGACCGGAGGGCTTTAATCCTCACGGGGATCGAAGGAGCGGAACAAGCAGCAGCGGTGCAGCGGGGAGGGCTGCGGGTGACTTTCCCTTTTCTCCGGGCCCCGGCTGATGTTTCTGCCTGAGCAGAAGGCGCGCACTTCTTGAACCTTCCCCTGCTCCCTCTGAGAGCGTCTGTTTACCTTTGCTGGCCCCGCGAAGCGGGCAGGGGAGGTATCAGCATGCTAAATTTCCAGCCCTGACCTCTGCAGCACTGACACGCTGCTTTATCTCCTCCGCAACCACGGGGCTGCTTTTTGCAGCATCCCGAACAAAGGACGTGCCAGCGGCTGCCGTTTTTCACGGCGTCGTTCATGGCTGCGAGCTGCCACCGGAGAATAAATCCTGTCGTCCCCCCCTCACCAGCAGCGGGGAACCTTCCTCCCAAGGCCGTCGGGTGCGTGCCAGGGGCGAAGTCCCCCGCGCTGGGCCTAATCCCACGGCACAGCGCGAGGAGGGGAAGCGTCCCCTTCTGCAGTGGGGGGACGGGGATAATGGGGAGCCCATTAGCATCTGTATGTGCGGGGGCTCGGGGAGCAGCGGGGCGCGGGGCCGCTTCCTGAATCCACATCCTGGCATCCCTGCCCTCCCAGGTGCTGTTTGCCCACCCGAGATGCCGGGGCTGGAGGCAGCTGTGCCCCCGGGGCCAGGAAGCATCCTCCTCCTCCTCCTCCTCCTCCTCCTC